GATGTCAGTGATCTTTCAGATATAGTTGACCGAATAGTCACAAGAGAATCTGAAATTAAGACAGCATCTGTCAATAATAACCTTATAAAACTTATTTTTGAAAAGAATAAAATAAAAAATAAAAAATCAATTGCCCAAAGAAATTTCATACACAACAATTGCTCGACACCCAAAAGTAGTCCTTTTAGAAAGAAAATATCCATTGGCAGATCGAATCGTCAATCTAAAGTGAATACGAGTTATTTCTTTGATAAATTAACCGATGATCGTGACGCCTTCGAAATGTCACTTGAATATAAATCAAATGATGTAAAGTACGATTATAATTCAACAGTCGATTGTAGTCTGCCTGACGTTATTTTATAATTCTACTAGCTTTCTCCCGCGACTTCGTCCACACGGAATTAAAAAAAGTTTAATTAGTAGCCACATAGGCTTCTGGACGATTATGTATTACATCTGTGCCAAATTTTATCAAGATCCATTGAGCCGATTCAGAGATACCTTCTAACAAACATACATCCATCTAAATAACTTTCGTATTCATAATATTAGTAAGATAAGGAGTAAGGTAAAGGTGAAACTTAAAATTAGAATAATTAGCTTTTAATTACCTATTATTTTAAATGAATTTTTAATAAACGTATAAAAAATATTCTTTGTTTTATTTTAAATATTAGTGTGAAATATATAAATGGCTAATAGGGAAAAAATCTTAGAATTTTTACAACTCATCAGATTCAGATTTGAACAGAATATTTGCGCTATCTTTACTTAAATCATTATGAAATAAAGACTTGTTTGTTAACGTAGATTTTATATATTCTATTGTTTTGTAACTGAAAAGAGTTAAAGTTGTTTTCTTTCCGCTAAATATACGTAGAGTATGTGTTTACCAACTGTTTTATACTAGTTGTTGCCTGCGAATTCGTTCGCGCTGAACTAAAACAAATTTAATGGTAAGAATAATCTGTCACCGAGGGATAAAGTAGCTTCCTAACAGTGAAGGAATTTTTCAAATCGGTTCAGTTGTTTCGGAGCCCTTTCAATACAAACAGACAATCAAATCAGACAAAAAATCTTTATATATTATAATAATATTAAGCATAGTTTACAGCAAAAACAAGTTACATATAAGATAATAAAGTGAGAAAATAAGAGATGGCAAGTAATAAATATAATAAGATAAGGATAAAAAACAATCCATATTTAGAATAAGTATTAAGAAAAACAGATGCATAATTACATACATTTTTTATTAGTTAGAAATTTGAATTTACGAAATAGACTGAAAGGACAGTCACGAGTTTACAAACTGGAGTTTATATGTGGGCAAATACAACTCTAGAATTTTACAATCTAATGAAAAAAGTTAGCGTGCCTGTAGGAATATGTTGAGAGCTAAAAAGGATACTAGTACAATGAAAAAAATGCATTGCTGGAAACATTGCTCGGTGGTACGTAACATGTTCTAGTTAGTTTTAGAATTATTAGTTCTAGACTGCGGTAAAAATGAATGAAGTTTTAACCATTGTATGGATACTGCATAATGTAAAGTAATGCATAAATTGCATTACTATATACGTCATTTGAGGGTAAAATGAAGAAAAAAGAGACAATTTGAATTTACCTATAATATGTCATTGGATATTTATAGCTTGTGACATATTACTTTGTTTTGTTTTCTTGTACCTTCTATGTATCTATAAACAAAGAGCTTTTCTTCGCGATGTAAATACCGTGTTTTAAAGTGAAAAAGCACTTAACGAGCTTAAGTTCTTTGGAACACTGCATTTACAATTACCCTGGTGAGAATGCACGCAGACGAGTACCTGTGTAACACAACATAAATACTAGACGTACTAGAGTTTTCTTATACTGGTTAATTATGTAAATTTTATCCATTTAAACACAAAGCGATTTCTTTTATTCACGTTGAAAGTCAACAGTCAATAAATAAGCTCTCTAATTTTGGAATTTTTAATGCAAAGCGTAAAATTGAATTGGTTCTTATTTAAAGCACGTTTTACTGCAGTAAAAGGTTACAACATAGTTGCTGAATTTTACAAGAACGGCGGAGCTCGCTGTGCAAAAATTCGATGCATAATGTCAACACGAGTGACTTTAATGGGCCCTGAGTGGGACCTCCCCCCGCCCGGTATTTAATAAACGCTCGGATTTTCTCTTTGCGTCAGTGAAAAAAAATCTGATCGCACGAAACTCGATGGGAATATGGAATTTTTTAAATATTTTATGATTTTATTACGAATTTGAATGGAACTATAATAATATAATTAATTTTACATTTTTGTAAAAGTCTTAGGATTATTATTTTTCATTCTACGTATTTATACATATCGAGTATATTTTTTGTGGTACAATGTTATGAAATGATTTCCGTATTCCAGAACATTCGCATATATTTTATAACCGCATTATATTGAAAAATGTTTATTTCTGTAGAAAAATTAATGTTCAATAAGTTTAAAAGTATGGCTCAAGTTCGTTCGTGGCTATTTTAAACTTCTTAAAATAAAAACGACTGTTACAAAACAGACTAATGCCAACTTTGCACATTGTAGGCTTCTGCGGAACTACGACGGTCTGGAACTTTGAATTGAATAAAAATAAAGGCACTAATGTTGGCTTACGCTCTTTCGAAATGCGAGGAAGCAGAGTATAGAAAAGTTGAGAATATTTACTTGAATGTGCTTGACTTATACCATCCAATGACTTACTTGACTTAAAGTCCTATGTCCCCGCAGTGGGGCAGAGGGGGTCCACAGTGCGCCGCCTGTTCGCTCTATCTTGGGCATTGCGTTTGATTTCGGGCCATGTCCATCCAATAATTGATTTATATTTATATACTAGCAGTGGCCCGCGACTCCGTCCGTGCGTTGTTAAAAAAATTAACACCCTATGTGTACTACCAGACTATGTTCTACATCTGTCCAAAATTTCAACGAGATCAGGCCGTTCTGGAGATACGTTCAAACATCCATCCATCCAAACATTTGCATTTATAATATTAGTATTACTTACTGCACATGCTGGATTTAGCTTAAAAGTAAGTAAAATAAAAGTAATAAAACATTTTCTCAACACACTCAGTACTGTAATGCTGGTTTCTTTGCTATTCTTTCCACAATTACTTACATCTCGCCACAAATGCATCCGTTAGGAACTGACCTTACGAAAGCTGCAATTAGTAATGGTTTCACTTTGTATCACGTCCATTTGTTACTCAGCTTTTAGTTCACGTTTCCCTCTAATACATTGAAATTACAATTGAATTCGACTAATATTTATATCATGACATGAAAATTTTAAATTGCATCAAAAATATATAACACAGTAAATCTTAAATGTTTAATTAGCAAATCACAATTTACCGTAATTAAATATAAATTGAAGCACTCGTGTATATTTTGATAGGCAAGGCGAAAGCTTTTATAAGATCAAAGCGTATACTTTGATGTCTCTTGAATTTGCGACACGGATTTATTACATTGTGCTTCTGGTTTGAGTGTCATTTGGAAAATATTAATCTGGAGATAGACATTTATTATTTCTTATAATTTATCAATTAAAATAATAATACAACTGAAGCATTTTAAAAGAATAAAAAAGAATATTTGTAATAAAATAAAATAAATAATTAAATAAACACTTATGTGTAAACTAATTAAATACTGTCCATTCGCGACGAGTACTAAGAAATTAAATTTAAATTGGAAATATTTCACCTATGGTACAGGTGTAAAAACAATAAAATTTTACGATAGTTTGCCGAAGTATGCCGTAAAGGAGGTGGAGGTTTGATTGAGTAGGTACTAAAAACTTACCAAAACTTCCGGTGCAGTGAACTAAAGTTTAGTTTGTGGAAATAAAAAAGTAATTATAGAATAAACTTTATTTTCCTCTTATAACTATGCTTATTGCTTAATAAAGCATTAAGTATAACAATTATGATGTACTTTAAAATACAGGTTTTAATATGAAAGTTTTACTCTAGCTCCTTTTTCCTACTCCAGAATTAAAACAGAATTACACACACAGCAATATATAGTAATACATAAGCTTTAGCCTTAAATATTGTTTTTTGTATAATAAACCGCAGAACAGTTACAACAAACGCTCGATTTATCGTGTCTTATATACATTTTAGACGAATGCATGCTACGATGTATCAGAGCTACGTAGTAGTTATGCTACGAGTGTCTACGCGACATTAATGTTAGCAATTAGAACTTGCCGATTTATTAAACAGTTATTAGGATTGAATCAAATTATTGCATAACTCATTATTAAAACCGTTTAAAATCGTACGTAGCGGAAGCTTCCCAAGATCTACGTATATGTTGAAATTATTATTCTTATGAAGGGAAGAAGTTTCGTTACTTAATATTGACTGTGTATTCTTGTATAAAAATTTCATGTTTCAAGTCTTGTATGGAATTGTAATACTATTCTTCAGATATTAACAAAGCTATTTGATATGAAAGCGCTACGTTATTTATGTGAAGTTGGCTGCAAAGTAATCGATCTTCATGCCAGTGTATCCACCTGAGCCGTAGTTGACGCGCACATCCAACGCCGTTAACATTTTTCATTTTAAAATAGAATCGCCTGACATTCTGAATCCTCT